CTGTCCTGACAGGATTGTTAGGAAAATAGTTATCAAAATTTCAAAAAAAAAATTTCAGACAACTAACGAATCCACACCTGGCTACTTGTAGCTGGCTGATATTGAGCTGCAGTGCTCTTCTCAAAAATAAAGATATAAAATCTATTTTTTTTCTATTTGTTGAGAGTTAAGATGCTCAGGAACATAATTTAAATGGATGGTAATAAATTATAGCCCTAATTATGAAAAGACCCTAATGAAGTTTTGATGAAAATGCATCCTAATGATTATTTATAATCATGAAACATACAGTAAGGTTAAGCTAGATATTCCTCTGTATTTTACCAAGCTTAACAATACTGCTGATTTAATTGAGCTTCAGGGAAACCACCTTTTTCAAAAGTGTTTCAGCTCATATCCTGGAGGAAATTGTTAAGGAAGCACTTAACATAATAAAATAATAAAAAAAGGAAATTGTACCTCATTTAAAATAAATAAAATTCAAGAAAATATGTTTGATTTATTAGAATCACTGACATTATGACTGAAGATATCAAAGAGATCTAAAAATGCCAAAAACATATGTCATTTTATCTGAGTTTTAAATGTAAAACTTGTAATTTTTATGTTTTGTTGACCTATCTTGAAAACCACTGATAATTTTGACAGATTTGTCCACAGTACAGATAAGCATATCAAAGGCATTCTTTATCTCTCTTACTGTCTTTCTGGTTTCCATCATTTTAAAACTATTTTTTGTTAATTTCCATTTCTCTCTGAAATTATCTGATTTTGCATTCTGTCTACTTTTTCCATTAGAACCCCTAATATACTAATCAGAAATACTTCAAATTTCTGGTCTGATCTTTCCAACATCAGTATCATATCTGAGTCTAACTCTTTGACTTGCTTTGTATCTTCAGACTTTTTCTCTTATCCTTCTGCATATCTTGTAATTTTTGGTTGAATGCTAGAAAAATTCCTTAGAATAGATGACTAAGGGTAGGTTGGTTGGTTATTTATTTATTTATTTATTTATTTATTTATTTATTTTAATGCTTACATAATTGTAGCATGGACACAAATAACATTAATTACTTGAAATTTGTTAAGCTCATTTTTATGGCTTAGCATAGGTCAATTTTTATAAATATCCTATGTGTACTCCAAAATATATGCTTTAGCGGACACATGTCTAGATATAAATGATTATAAATATAAAAGTTTATAAATGATATTCCTTAAACATTATATACAGCAATCATTTTTTGTTGTTTTGGTTTTGAGCATATATCAATACCTTATGAAGGTACTTTGAAGTCTCTTGGTATATGTCGGTATATTTATCAATTTCTCATATGAAAGAGCTATAAAATATGCTTTATATCTTTTGAGTGTTATTCTTACATATATACTTAAGAGTTATTATAGCTTCCTCATACATTGAGCAGCTTTTCATATTACACAGTTACATTTTTTAAACTCAAAATGTTTTTCCCTTAAAATCTACCTAACTGAAATTGTATAATTACTTCAGTTTTATTCTCTTGTATTTGCTGGGTAATTCTAATTTGTATTTTATAATTTAAGCATAAATCAGTCTTAAACTTAGGTGTGTGACTTAGAAGCAGAATAAAATTATTTTGTGTTTTGTTCAGACTCATCATAGGTCATTTTTCCCTCCAATTTTAATGTTTTCTTATTTTCTTCATATTAGTTTACAATGATTATCTATGTATTAACTATTATTTATCCTGTTAGAATTTGGTGAAATTCTTTCAATAATCCTATAAAATTGTTATTCATTATATCTCAAATATTCTAGCTTCTCCATTCTCAGTTTTACGTTTTATATAACATCAATAAGTTTTCTGTTGTATCTTATCATTCTATTTTTTTTATTTATTTATGATAGTCACAGAGAGAGAGAGAGAGAGAGAGAGAGAGAGAGAGAGAGAGGCAGAGACACAGAGGGAGAAGCAGGCTCCATGCACCGGGAGCCCGATGTGGGATTCGATCCCAGGTCTCCAGGATCACGTCCTGGGCCAAAGGCAGGCGCCAAACCACTGCGCCACCCAGGGATCCCCTTATCATTCTATTTTCTATTTTGTGATCTCTTTTTCATACTAGCATTCAGTGGAAACTCTTCTTTCTCTCTCTGAGTTGGCATATTGATTTAAGTTCTTCAGATTTCCCTGCCCTCCAGCCCTACTTTTGGTCCACCAGTTCTCTATACATTTTGTTCAATCTGCTATGTATACTATAATCTATTCATTGTGTGCTTTTATTTAACTGTGTAGTATTTAATTGCATGATTTAACTTTACCTCTAATCCACCAATTGTATAGTCAACTATTGTATTTTATTTCTAGATTTTTCAATTTTTTTTTCTAATTATTTGATCCTTTACATGTAATTTTCTCATCCTTACTTGAAATTTTAAAAACCTATTTTTTGGTGTTACCTTTATTAAAATACAAGTTTTATTTTCTAAAGCATAAAGCCTTTGTAAGTTCTCATCTATTGCCTTTTTTTCCCTCTCCACTTTAAGTGCATTATAATGTACATGCTTATGTTTTTTTAAATTTCAAGTCTTTTTTTCTTGGAACTTTGTAGAAGTACTATGACACTGAGCTTAAGTTACATTCTTTCAGAAAGGATTTGTCTTTATATCTGTTGATTACTCAAGAATAGCACTGACTGGATCCCTGGGTGGCGCAGCGGTTTGGCGCCTGCCTTTGGCCCAGGGCGCGATCCTGGAGACCCGGGATCGAATCCCACATCAGGCTCCCAGTGCATGGAGCCTGCTTCTCCCTCTGCCTATTCCTGCCTCTCTCTCTCTCTCTCTCTCTCTCTCTCTCTCTGTGACTATCATAAATAAAAAATAAAAAAAAAAAAAGAATAGCACTGACTGGGAAAACTACAATTAGATTCTCACCTTGATGAGATGGATTATTTTTTAAATTTTCTTTGGTTTGTTTAGTTTTTCTTTGTATATTTTTGCTCCAAAGTAGGGTAATTCTGAACTACAAAAATCATATGAGGTCCATTAGGTGTTACATATTTTCCAAGGAAACTTCTTTCTTCCCTCTCCTAAGTACTAAAACATCAAGATAGTCATGTCACTCTGACTCTTGACCACATTGTTCTCCAGATACAGCTCCTCCACTCCCTCCTCCTTGAATCCACAGCCTATTCTTACACTTTTTGAAGTAAACATGTTTTTCTTTGCTTCCCTAAAGTTAATCATTCCTATAGCCAACCTGTTGGCTTTTATTATTTTTTTTAAGATTTATTTATTTATTTATTTATTATTTATTCATTTATTCATTCATTCATTCATTCATTCATTCAGTCAGAGAGAGAGAGAGAGGCAGAGACACAGGCAGAGGGAGAAACGGGCTCCATGCAGGATGGCCCGACATGGGACTCCATCCCAGGTCTCCAGGATCACACCCTGGGCTGCAGGCGGCGCTAAACCACTGTGCCACCGGGGCTGCCCAACCTGTTGCCTTTTAATGAAAACTGGAGGAGACAAAGCCTCAGAGTCCGAACCAGAGTGCGGTTTGAGTCTGAGTCTGAGCCTTGGTCCTCCTGCCCTCCAGATTAAGATTCATTGAGACTCCAAGTCTTTCTTCATATCATCACTTCCAACTATCCTGGATCCACGGCACACACATGTGTTGTGGGAGCAGGAGGATCTTTTGTTAGATTCCATCTTGGAGAGAACCCAGGCTTTATCCTGGTTCATCATACCCCCAAACACCCATTGTATCAGAAGCTCAAGTTCTCTGAGGATTCCTCCTTTAATGTCCTTTTTTTGGATGTTATCTGATTTTTACTTTTGAGACTTCTCAGTAATTAACATAAGGAACTTCAGTCTTTCCAAATGGCACTTATTCCAAGATACCTAGTTTTATATACTATTATCAACAGAAGTTACAAATGACTTTTTAAAATTATAAGCATTTAAAATTGCAAATTTTTACACTAGAGTTACTCTTAAAAGAGCAAGATTACTTTAGTAGCTCAGACTAACTTCAAAGTGCAAATCAGCTTAGAAACTAATTTGTAAGAGTAAAATATCCAACTCTAACTTCCTCATTTACACCCTATTTTTAAAAAATCTGATCACCTAGTGAAAAAAACTTGAAAATATGAGTTTTCTACTTTTAAAAGCTTTAATTGCTGAGGGTAATGATTCTGAAAAGAAATTATATTTTTATTGCCTGGGACGTTTCTTCCGTAGCAAAATCTGTTCATCATAGCAGTGCAAGTCTTAGGAGATTCTGTTAATGGACCATGCTGTCACCAATAAACACCTTGAACTGGTAGTTATTTCAGAGAAAAAGGAAGTCACTCTTTTATAGACTGGGTCTTTTAAATGCACTGTGAAATAAAGGGCACACAAGCTTAAGAGTAATTATTCCCATTATGCATACTTTTATGACTCAAGATACTGAGATAACAAGGAAAATAAATGTAAAATAAGCATGTACGGAAAGCTCATCTAGAATTAGATTCTCAAAGAGTGTATTAGATTAAGAAAGGTGGATAGATAATACATTCACAAAAATTTTTAAGAATCAATCATGTCCGGATAAAAACATAGACATATTTATTAATTGATACTTAATTTCAATAAGTGACTAAACTGCTTCTTATAACAGATTATATATCATGGTGCGTGGGGCAGGGGGGCATTAGTCTTTTATATCCAGTGTGTAAGTTCTATTATTCAGGATAATTCAAGGAAATAAGAATTTTTATATTAACAGTAAATCTCTACCACCTAAAGGAAAAATAACAAGTTATCAAGACTTTATACTAAAGTAAAGCCTCCACAGAAACCTTTCCGGATAATTTCATCTTCCCCTATTATCACCTCCTCAAAAGAACTTATTATATAAAAGGTGATAAATATTGCCACCATGTTCTGTTACATGGGATGCTTTGGAACACATAAAAATCAAGAATTTTCTTGTCCTTCAATTTTATGCTTTTGAATATACTGTAAATTGAAATCTGGGTGGAGAGATTTTTCACGAATTTTCATGTCATCCTTGTAAATGTTAATCTTCCCTGTATCATTCCAAATTTAGTATATGTGCTGCCAAAGTGAGCCTGGATAGGGATTTTTTTTTCAACATAAAATTATTTAATATTGAAGGGAAGTGAGGAAAAATCTTTAGTTTATTTGAATAAAGTTCACTGACAACCTAAGTATTTCAAAATTATCATGTTTAAATCATCAAATAGACGAGCAAACCATCATATTAGATACCTTACTTAATTTCTGGCAATTCTGGCCATTTTTCAGGGGTTTTCTTTTAGTGAGTACTTAACCCTGAAGGAAACATCCTATCTTGTGAGTTTCTGGACTACTTAGCCTTTACTTATAACTACAGTTAGTTGTCAATTTATTAGTTATCACTGGGGTAGTAAAACTGCATGTTATGGAACCAGTGAAGAGAGACCCTTAATTTAGATTTCTTTGGGGAATAGGGACAGTTAAAGACCACCACATTGCAAATAAGCTTAGTCTTAAAGGAGCAATTAGAGAAACATCAGTGAAAACACTGGAGAAAGCATTCCAGAAAGAACAATTAGAATGTGCAAAGTCAAGAAGACATAGAAATGCGTAATTTTTTTAACACATAATTTTAGGAGTGAGTGATATGTCCTCCTGAATTGGGTGAGTTTCTGATGATGTGGCAAGAATATGAGGCTAGAGAGCAAATCTGGGACCAAATTATTGATGGCTTTATGGAGTGGAGTGTTCTTTGTAAACAGAGAAGTGACAACTGAAATTTTCTATTTTACAAACATCTTAGGTCTTTAGGGTGGGGTGCAATGATGGTATCATATAGGAAGATGATGCAATGATACAGGTGAAAAAAATGAATTAAAGGAGGTCACCATCAGTTAAGGAGAGGGCTGATTTGGAAGCTATTAAAGAGGTAAGATATTAATACCTGATCTATGTATGTTGCAAATAAAACAAAATTTGTCTCAAACTACACTGTCCAAAAACATGTCCTCTAGCCACATGTGGCTATACACATTTAAATTTATATTAGCTAATCTTAAGAAAATTAGCTAATCTTAAGAAAAAGTTCAGTTCCCCAGTATCATTAGTCACATTTCAAGTGTTCTGTAGTCATATATGGTTAGCAGCTGTTTTAGAAAGCACTCATATTAGATAATGCCAGTGTAGAGTGAATCCTAGGTACTTAATGTGGGTTACCTGTGATTAAGAGTGGGTCCTTGATATTTGCAGGTATTCTGAGTGGGGGATGGGGATATAATGTTGCAATTATACTTTCAGGTACTGCACTTTCAGGAAGGACCAGAATATCTTGCAGACCCAGATGTAAACCAGGCTCCACTGTTTCATTTTCAGTCAACTGGTTGTATGGAATTCTCATGAGACAAAAGATGGGGATTGAAGGAAAGGAGGCCATGAAGAAAAAAATCAGTTTCAAAAAAAAAAAAACAAAAAAAAAACAACTGAAACATTTGCTTATGCAACTTACCTGTATATCCTGGTCTTGCTCAAACACATTTTTTATCTATTATTTCTACTTGACGATACTTGCTGCACACACCCAACTTTATGAATAAATGGGTTAGAGAGGGAAAACTCAGGCTGCATAATTACCTGATGTCCCAAGCAGGACCAGCCTTCCTTTCAATCAAGGTGCTCTATATTAGTAGCCTGGCTTTAATTTAGTCTAAAAACTGGGTACAAGGCCATGATTTTTCATTGTACTGATTCAAGTCAGATTTTTGGCCAGATCTAGAAGGCTTTTTTCTCTCTTTTATATAAGTCATGAAGTATTCTAGTAAGCTCTCATCTATTTGATTTCTTGGGAGGTCAAGATTAATGAGGTGCTACCAGAAATTCCTGTGGGCCAAGAGTGTCCTTGCTGTTCTTCATAATGAATTGTTGAAAGATACTCCCTTGAATATTTTCATGCTTTTACATAATCCAGGCTTTCTAAGTAAAGAGGAGATATGAATAACAAAGGCTTTGGAAGCTAGAGATAATGTATCACTCTGAAGATTTACAGGATTGTCTCCCTGGAGCCATTTCTTTACTTTCATGTTGAGATCTGACTCTATTCCTGGGTCAAGTAGCAAGAAGAATTAGTAGAATTAGTACCCACCCCCCTTGCAAGCGTCTGCCCCCCAACCCCCACCCCGAGAGATTATCAGAGTTTTTCAGCACAGTTTTTTGGCTTATTTCCTCAGGCACAGGTGGCCAGGCTGCTTAAATGGCAGAGGGAGACTTAGAGTTATTATAGGTTCAAGTTGTCAGTTTCTTCTAAGTCCAACCTATTCACAGGGTTAAGCTCCAGTTTAATGAAACAGGAAATGAAATGAGAGGCAGTAAATTGATAACTCACTGCCACAAAATAGGATTAACTTTTTGAAAAAGGAGAAATCGCCAACAATTACCACAGATATAAAGGTGTGAATAAGATTGTGCCAGTAAAACAAGTTGCTTATTTGATTATTTGGCTCAGAAATAGCCAATATATTACTCTACACCTCACTGCTGGTGAAACACAATTTATCAATACACTCTCCATCCTTGAACCCTATTGAGATACAAACACAATCTTTCTCAACGAAACATTATAGGCACAATGGTCACTCCATGCCTAAAATAAAAATTCCATTTTGAGATAATTTAATATAAAAATATTTTAATAGAGATTGATAGCATTTGCTTGCATTTAATAAAAGCTCTCATTAAAATTAGTACCCATAATAAGGTATGAAATGGATAGTATACCTAATACTGTTTACTTTTTGTGGAAATTGAGGAACACAAAAAATTAAATGACCCCAAAACACTGAATGATTTAAGGATTAAATTTTCATCTGTCATTTCACTATTGACCAACATATATTACTTCTGTTATGACAACAGCTATTTTCATGAATTATTTTCTCTTTTTTCATGCAGGGCAATGGACACTAATCATATATATGATGGTAATCTCCATTTCAAAGTCCAAGAGAAAATAGATATATATATATATATTCCACTGTGTAAGAGAAAGCAAATAGATGTTTTCTAGGCAATGGGGCTTGCCAAAGTTAAGAGTAAATGAAATAATGAGTAATTTTCTTTTAAGTCAATTGAAAATAAAAGGTAAAAACTTCCCAATTCATCCTTTTATTCCATCTGCCATTTTCACGCTTTATTACATTAAATGTTCCGTTCTCAGCCATTTTTACTTACTAAAAATTATCCATATTCTTCTATATTAACCTAAGAACTTCTGGCATATGCACTAGTGTTTACCTAGTAGGGTAAAAATTTACCTTAAATTTTGTTTGTAGGATGTTCCTCTGCTTTCCCATTCACGTATGACACCCATTTGTTATGCTGATAAATACTCTGAGCCTTCCGTGCTGTGGGTACTACTTCCCTGCCTTGAGGTTATAATCCAAAGTAACCTAGCTGTTTTGTATCCATCTACGTTCCTTTCATGTCTGTCACTCCATAAATATTCCAACATCAGAGTATCATAACAAGTTAAAATACGATTAAAATATTTTGATGAACTACTTATAAACCATTGTGACTAGTCCCAGTCATGACAATAACTGGTGAAAGGAAAAAAAGAAAAAAGAAAAAGGATGGTTTTCTTAGACTTAAAGCTTTTGCTATTAGCTATGGTCACATGCTTGTCACAATGGGTATTTTCCTGAGAGTAACAGGAGGATAAATGAGAGAAAACTATAGTCCGTGGTGAGGATTTTTTTTAAAATTTTATTCATTTATTCATGTGAGACACAGAGAGGGGGAGAGAGAGAGAGAGGCAGAGATACAGAGAGAGAAGCAGGCTTCACGTAGAGAGCCCGACGTGGGACTCCATCCCAGGTCTCCAGGATCAGGCTCTGGGCAGAATCAGCGCTAAACCGCTGAGCCACCCAGGCTGCCCAGTGGTAAGGATTTTTTAGCACCTACAGAAATACACTTGTCTTTCTATCTATCTTCTGGGATTTATAGGTAGGGAAATAAGAGCCCGACCTTATAAAGGTTCTTCACCTCAACTTTTTGATTTATTATCCAGAAACCAATAACATTTTCTTAATCAAAATTGTGTTAGAGGGATCCCTGGGTGGCGCAGCGGTTTGGCGCCTGCCTTTGGCCCAGGGCGCGATCCTGGAGACCCGGAATCGAATCCCACGTCGGGCTCCCAGTGCATGGAGCCTGCTTCTCCCTCTGCCTATGTCTCTGCCTTGTCTCTGCCTCTCTCTCTCTCTCTGTATGACTATCATAAATAAATAATTTAAAAAAAAATTTAAAAAAATTGTGTTAGAATATAATTTTTCATATTAATATCAATTAAATTAGTTAATATTTACTAATTTCAGTTAAACTTAAACATAAGAAAAATAACTGATAATAATAATAGTATTAAGTACAAACAGGTAATAAACCAAGCTCTATGCCAAGTGTTTTCCATAAATTATTTCATTGATATTCATTACCATGCTACTACTTATCAAGAAAGTGAGAATTATATGTATGAAATAATTTGTTCAAGAAGACACCAAGAAGTTAAAGAGGCCAACTGTGTATCAGGTTCACCACCATGAGTCCTCACATAAAGAAAAGCCCTAATAGACCTCAAATCCTCTGCCTTTATAGAGAAAACAAATCAGATTACTTTCCCTAACTTGCTAAATTCAATTAAGTGTCTCTACACTGGGACAAGAATTTACAGAAAAAAAAACTACCTACTCCCCCACTCTACTAATATGCTGTATCTTTTATATACAAGCATGTTAATAAACTTCAACTGATACAAGGTTCTTAGAGTGTGGATCATGGCTATCTCAGGACCTATTAGTAAACAATCTTGTGTTTTTTATTCACTGCTTTAGAAATAATAATAGCTATGTGTCAAACACTGCACTAAGAGCTTTACATATATTTACATATATTTTCATATTCAGTTCTCAGAACAAACCACAAAAGGTAACTTTCACTATCCCCATTTGGAGATAAGGAAATTTATGTTCTGTGAAGTTAAATAACTTGTCCAAGATCTTACAGTTGATATGTACCAACTCAGGAGTTTAACCAAATCATGTCTGTG